TATAAACAATACCTTTACACTTTTTCTCTCAACCTACTTGGAGCTACTCTGCTGACAGATTTACAATACCTTACAGAAAAGAGCAAGACAAGAGTCACTGTAACCTTTTTAGAAGAAATACAATTGCATATAATCATTCATCCATACATCTATTCATTCCACCACGCACACATGGTACCATAATAAGATATAATAAGATATACAACATAAAAAATACAATTACCTGTAATAGCAAGAATGTTATATACCTGTTGGAGTGTCCTTGTGGCCTCCAGTATGTAAGAAACACAATTAGACCCCTCAAAATTAGAATAAGCGAACATTGCCGCAACATAGAGAAAGGCTTTAAAAGTCACGTTGTCTCTTCACATTTCAGTGTACATAATGACCCCAAAAAAATTTAAATTCATGCGCATTTCAATCCTTACCAAACACTGGAGAGGCGGAGACATGGTTAAAAAAAACCTCTTAGAAACAGAGATGGAGTGGGTGTATTATTTAGATACTTTACACCCTAATGGCCTCAACGTTAATTTCAACCTTTTTAATTTTTATCACGTCTATTTTTTTTAGCTAATAGCCTTTTTTTTCTCACAATATAAGTCCCTCCACTTTTTATAAATTATGGTATTCTCAGTATATTTCCTAGCTGTATAATTTTAATCATGTCTCAACACTCTCTAGAATTGAAATATATCTGTTATCTTATGCAATTCAATATATGATCCATAAAATGAGTTCACGTTATAATCTTTTAACCTCACTGAATTTAAATACTCTAGTTAATATATGTGTTTTTCACAAAAAAAATCTCTATATATAAATAATGCTATGCACTTTAATTATTATGGTATATGTATAGGTAAAAATTGTTTCTTCACACAAATACTATGACGCTGGCCATGTTGTGATGCATATTTTAAAAATATATTCCTTTTTACTTAATTTAAGTATTTTAACCAATATATGATTTTAAATATATGTTTTTCCTGAGCAAATAAGTTTCACATACAAATGTCGCTATGCATTATAAGTACATTATCTGTATGAAGAATACTAATTTCGTCCTCTTCTTTATCCCATTCTTAACATACAAACTTTTATCATGTTGCACACAACCAAAATAGCTGATGAGAACTTTTATCATGTTTCCCTCAACCAAAATGGCTGACGATAACTATTCCAGCCATATTATTAGACATTCAGAGAGAGGGAAAAAAGGACTACACGTGGCACAATGCAAATCAGTCGCAGCACATCACTTCCGGGTGACACATGTGACCCAAGGAACCAGGAAGTAAATAAGCACACCTAATTCTACTAATTGGAGATGAACTTTCTATATAAACTTGGAATAGGACATTCTGAGGATCATCCACACGTCTGAGGAAGTGCTGGGAGAAACGCGTAAAGTGTGACCTTAAAAAAGTTTTTTTTATATCTATATATTTTATTCTTTTATTTATTTGTAATATTACTTTTAACTACTATATATAAATAAATAAAATGTATTGTCTTCAACATCATATCCAATTTGTTGTTTTGCTGCTGAACAATTATTTTGGGTCCTGCACATCCTCGGGTGGGGATTATACCACCAAAGCAAGTTTATTGCTCTCCAAAAGTGTAATTAGGATACTTTGCTTTTGTGCACCTTATATATATATTTTAAAGGATCACCATAGTCAACATATAAAAGCAAGAAAGACAGGTCCCCTAGCCTTCTTTCTTGCTTTTCTATGAACTTCCCCTAATAAAAAAATAAATCCAAGCCTTTTTTATCATTAAAATTTACCTTTGTTCCAGCGCCAAGCTCCTCGTCAGGCCACACCCCCTTCATCAAAATTACAAAATCGCAGGGCCAAATAGGATGCTTCTCTTTGAGAAGCTTCCTCGCGCTCTGGTGCGCATGCGCAGGTTTGCACTGCACCAATCAGGTTCTTCATAGAGCAGCATTGAATGGCGCTCTATGAAAGAACTGAGCGCGAGCTGACTCACAGCTTAGTGTCTATGCCCGCGCCCCTCCTACAGCAACCCTCCAGCCCAAAGTTAGTATACAAACACTATCTCTCTCTCTCTCTCTCTCTCTATATATATATATATATATAAACACAGTTAATGGCACTCACCCTTGCTCCTATAAAAAATAGTATATGTGCCCTGGTGCAATCCCATGCTTATAGATAGTATTGTTTGAAAAAAAGGATGCACTCAAAGGTCTTTAAGCGAATAATGGTAATATTTAATCCATAAAGAGTTTACAGATTGCTTGATCAATGATCAAGACATAAGTCTTGTTTGTCACTCACAATCACTCACCCACACTCCAGAATGGAGTATCTGTACATAGGACGACAATAAGCCGTACGCTCCATAGAGTTGGGCTTTATGGTAGAGTGGCCGAAGAAAGCCATTACTTTCAGCAAAAAATAAAATGGCACGTTTTGAGTTTGCAAAAAGGCATGTGGGAGACTCCCAAAATGTATGGAGGAAGGTGTTCTGGTCTGATGAGACTAAAATTTAACTTTTCGGCCATCAAAGAAAACGCTATGTCTGGCGCAAACCCAACACATCGCATCACCCAAAGAACACCATCCCCACAGTGAAACATGGTGGTGGCAGCTTCATGCTGTGGGGATGTTTATAAGCAGCCAGGACTGGGAAATTGGTCAGAGTTGAGGGAAAGATGGATGGTGCTAAATACAGGGATATTCTTGAGCAAAACCTGTATCACTCTGTGCATGATTTGGGGCTAGGACGGAGGTTGCAGGGGATTCAACGGGGAAAGTCCTTGTAAGGACTAGAACTAATTCCCCATTCGGCTCCAGGAAGGAGCGGTTCCAGGGCCCCAGTCAAGCCACGGCGACTGTGGGCAGAATTGCTGCGGTTTGTCCCCTGTTCCGGCTAGGAAGCGGTCCTTGGTGGAGGTACCCAGCCAGGGGTACAGGGAGCGCCGCTACAGGAGCTATAGAAAGGGTAGGCAGGGGCTACAGACGTTTGGGGGACAGGGGCTATAGAAATAGGAACAGGGGCTGACAAAAAAAATCCCCCCACCCTTGAGTCTTACCTTAGGCCTTAGACAAGACCCTGGAGCAGAAGCCTGCAGCCAGGGAAGTCGGCCGGCCTCTCCTGATGATGTCAGGAGGAGGGGGCGTGACTTCCACTGCTCTTCTCCCAGACTCCCCAGCAGATTGATGGGGAGTCTGTAGAAGAGCAGTGGAAGCCATGCCCCTCTTCCTGACATCATCAGGAGGGGCCGGCCGACTTCCCTGGCTGCTTTGTTCTGGCTGACAGGAGACAGCAGGTAATGTGAAAAATCTGAGTCCCCAGTCACAGGCAGGGGATTCGGATTTTTGCTCCGGCATTGCAGTGCAGCACTGAGCCTCAATTTTGAGGCTTGATTAGGGTGTGCCCAGGCACGCCTATGCACCCACACTCACAATCACTCACCCACACTCACTCAGTTACTCACCCACACTCAGTCACTCACCCACCCACCCACCCACACTCAGTCACAAAATAAGTCTCCGGTCTTCAGCATGTCAGCGCGAGCCAATGCTGTGTGCAGGAGATCTTATCTCCCACACTGTCGGCTCTCATCGCTGACGGGCTCCGGGGTTTCTACAGAACATTGGAGGCGCGTTCACAGTGCCTCCTACCTTCTGTCTGCTGGTAGCATGTTTGATGTCTTCACCCAAGCGTGAAGATGTCAAACGTGAAGATGAATGCAAATTATGACTGCAACTGGAGGTGCTCCTAACTTCAAATGTAAACACTGTATTTTCTTAGAAAATACAGTGTTTACATGAGAAAGACTGCAGGTAGCTATAGTTCTCACCTGAACAACCTCAGTAAGCTGAAGTTGTTCTGGTGACTATAGTGTCCCTTTAACATATTGTACTATTAGACCCATTCTGCTTTATTTTATATGCTGGAGTCATACTGGACACATGAAATTGTGGATCTACATATATCCCAAGATGGGGATTGTGCCGTCACAGCGCTAAACAGCAGAGCTCTCAGTAGCTCATAAAAAGTGAGTGAGACATCTATATACTTAACTGTCTGTAAATCCATTTAAGACATATTACACTATTTTTGTTGTATTTCTGTTTTATTTTGAGGTTTTCTTGGTACAAAATCACTTTACTCCAGAGAGAGTATGTATATACATAATTTATTACACATTATTGGGTTATTGTTAAGATTGAGTATACCCATATGATTTTTTCAGTTCTGTTTGGCGCGGTTTATCACCTGTTGTTTTGTCACATTTATACACGCTGCATGCAAACGTGCAGCAACAGACAGAATGCCGGAGGGGATCATGGCACCGGAGCCGACAGGTAAGCAGGCAGAATGCCTAACAAAAAAGGGGGGGGAGTAACTTGGTAATGCTTGGTGAGCCTTACTTGGTGAGCCTTAACGTGTGTGAACTAAAGCTATAGAGGGATAAGTGTCCCGGTTGCCCGGTGCGGCATGTTCATTTAGCCCGAGGGCTATTTGAAGGTGTAGGTCAGTCCTTGGATCATTCAGGTAGCGGTCTCTGTGGAGGCTCTCTGTGACTGTCTCGCTGGGTTCTTCGAGGCTGGCAGTTCCGCTGGGTGGTTTGGTCCTGCTCTGGATATGGTAACCCCAGAGTTGGCAGGAGGTCTGTGGCGCTCTGCATGTCATGGACCTTGTATGTTGCGCCGTCATGCTGGATCTGTAGTGCCCAGAGTGTTCTCCACTGGTATATGTTCCCGTGCAGGCGGAGTAGGGCCGTTAATAGTTTCATCGTGCGGCGCCATGTCAGAGTCGGTCCCGATAGATCTGCATATATTGAAAGATGCTTGCTCTCAAACAGATATGGTGATTGGTTTCTAATAGCTTGAAGGACCGCTGTTCTGTCTCTGTGGTTTAAGAAGCGTACCAGGAGATCCCTTGGTGCGTCGTCTGGGGCCTTAGCTGGTCTTGGGAGACGGAACATCTCTCCCAGTGCCGCCTGTTTGGCCTCTCTAGGGGGCAGGAGGGCAGACATCAGTCACCGGATAAAGTGCAGTATCTCCGCCTCTGGTATCTCCTCGCTGATGCCCCTGATTTTGAGATTCAGGCTACACCTCTGGTTCTCCAATTCTTCAAACTTTAGATCCATCGTGTGGGTCTGCTGTTGCAGGTCATGAACTGCTTTATGCAGTTGCGTCGTGTTTTGTGTGTTTCGGCGGGAATTGGTTTCCAGTGTGCTCAGACAGCCTGTCAGGCCTTGCAGGTCTCCGCGTATTTGGGCCATGTCTGCTTGGATGGTGAGCTGAAGTCCCGCCAGCAGTTCCTTCATGACTGCTGTGGTCACCGGAGCTGTATCTGCCGGAGGGTGAGCCCGGGGAGGTGTCACCAGGACAAGTGAGTCGTGCCTGTCAGCCCCGCCTGTAACATCGTCTGACATGTCAGAGCCATCGTCGACATAGTCGGCCATGTTTGTGGTCGTGTGGATGCGGCCTGCAACCATAGGTCTCCAATACTGCTGTTCTGCCGAGGGTTGTCAGGCTTTGCCTTTTTAGTTTTTTGGCCCATCTTCTTGCTTGTGGCTGGGTGTTCGGTTTGATGTCGTTTGTGGGGAGATGGGGCCACGTTAAGAGGTTTATAGTTATCTTGTGGTCCGGAGCTCCGAGTGCTTGCGGCCATTCAGGTCCGTGGCTTGGCTCAGCCCCCATCCAGTTGCTTTTAAGCACCATTGCTTTTAATAATTTTGTAGCCCGCCTCTGCACTTTATCTAGTGCCACAATATAATTTTTTAGAGTAGGCGCCCAAAATTGCACAGCATATTTTATGTGTGGTTCGGTATGGAAATGAGGAAGAAGTGCCTTGCAGATAGTCTTGAATCCAGGTGATGTATTGGTAGGCAGCTATAACAACCGAAAACCAGAGTCTCTTCCTTCTGGTAAAAAGTACAGTTCGGTATGGAAATGAGGGAGCAGCGCCTTGCAGATAGTATTGAATCCTCAATTCTACGTGTGCTCTTAGTATTGATTCATAAAGAGGCAAAATTATATTTTCTTCCAGGGAATTAATGCCACTTTTTATGCATGACAATACCTTACAGGTCTTAGCAACTGCTGACTGGCATTGCATATTGTTGCCTAGCTTGTGGTCTATAACAATTCCCAAATATATATGACCTGGTGCCCTTTTAAGGACTAGCAAGTAGCATAGGGCTTCAAATTGTAAGTCCCTGTTTTAACACTGAATGGCAGTATGGAGTGCAAAAAAAACTTGAGTTGAATTGTTCTGTTTGAAAGTCCCCTAAATGACACTTAATTATAGGCACCAGGTAGAGACTCTGCTATGTGTTAAAGGGACTCTCCAGTGCCAGGAAAAGAGTGCCCCTCTTCCTCCCACCCCCAATCACATGTTGCTGATGGGGTTAAAACCCCTTCAGTGACTTACCTGAATCCAGCGCCGATGTCCCTTGGTGCTGGGTCAGGCTCCGCCCACACTCCTCCCCAGCCAACATAAGCCAGCAGGTAAGACCTAATGTGCATGGACCTCCCCATAGGAGAGCATTATTCAATGCTTTCCTATGGGGATTCCGGCTACGCTGGAGCTCCTCATGCATACCGCGAGGACGTCCAGCGTAGTTTAAAACACTTTTCGTGTTCTAAGAAGCCGGAAGTCCCTCTAGTTTCTGTCTGATAGACAGCCACTAGAGGAAGACTTAAACTTGCAAGGCAATTATTGCATTTTCACTTGCAGGGTTAAGGGTGATGGGAGTTGGCACCCAGACCACTCCAATGGGCAGAAGTGGTCTGGGTGCCTGGAGTGTCCCTTTAACTCCTGGGGAGTCTGTCCTTATTTTATACCATACACAGTTACAGCTCACTGTGAGAGTTATTCACTAAGACAGGACTTGCTGGACAGTCACTGGTGAATTGAAAACGTCAAACTAAGCAAACTGGGACATTTCTGCCATTTTCCCCAGTTTAGCTGTGCGCACATTCACCCACATTCCTCTAAATCTGCACCGCTCATTCGGAATATAGAATATCATGTAATGGGCTAGAGCCGTAGAGTAGACGCTAGTTACTATAACTACTTCCACTCTGAGTCTTTTCATTTTGTAAGTAAGCAGCCGCGCATCTTCCAGCGTCTGCTTAAAAAAAAAAAAAACTAAATTAATCTCAGCGCGCACGCGCATTCCACGAGGTGACGTCATCCGAGCGCGTCAACTCCTGGCATGCGCGGCTTCCGTGTATGTGCGCCCACCTTTCTGGAAACATTGATGGTGAGTGCTAACCAAGATAAACCCATTCAGAAGTCCGTTAAGCTCTATAGGGCTGGGGGGGTAGAGCACTGCATTGTGGGTAGGGGAGATGGAGACGTATGAGAGAGAGAGAAGGGGGTAATGATTCGGTGTGTGGGAGCAGAGATAGACTATGGGTTAGAGTGGGAAAGGGCAACTCATTCAATAGAAGGAGCCTACGAAAGGGGTGCAAAGGATTCTGGGAGGATAATGATAGTCCTTCTAATTGTATATATCAAATGTGTTCTATAGGGCAGGCTTCAAATTAGCAGTGTAGGACTATTAAAGGGTCTTGGGTGTTAATGGGAGAATTCATTAACTTACATAATGAATAAACAGAATTTGCTAATCTATTGATGTTAAATCATATACAAATTGTCAAATTGAAGCTACAATAGCCAAGCTGTGACTGTAGCTTAGTTTGAGAATTTGTATTCTTAGTCGGATATTGTAGCCCTTCATTTTTCAATTAGATTAGTGGAAAAATCCAGGCTTTAAAATTAACGGATTGCCTCGGTGCTCCCCACAGTGAGTAATTAATATATAACTTTGGGGTGTCTACAAACCACTTGGCATACGAAATCTGAAAACCATGCTGCACCTTTACACAGCATCTCTATTCAACTGTTCAGAGCTATGCTTGAGTACTACTGGAGTGTTTCCTTTCTCCTCCCTTTGCTACTAAGTAACTTGTAACAGAGAGGCTAAATACACATTTTTTTACATTGTTGCATTTGCTAGCTCATAAGCCATTACCTAAAACAGCTGCTGTATATTTCTTTCCCTGTTGCTATTTGATATAATGTTACGGTTAGAGCTGATATGACCACATTTATTCATGGGAAATGTATGTTCTAAAAATATCTATATTTATTTGTTTCTCTGATATTTATATACCGGCATGTTTTGTGTAATAGTTTTTAACCTTCCCACAACATAAGTTTTTTTTTTTTTTTTTTGTCTCCTTGAGAAAATTGACAGTCTTTTCTTTTTGGTTTAGCCGTGGAGGTATGCTTCTGTTAGTTCCCGCGAACTAATGGTGTGCTCTACTTGAGTTTACCTGCCTTCCCCAGTATATCTCCTTCTCAGACCAGCAGTCTTTTTCAACGCTGTGGAGTGTGTGCTGTGCAGGACACTCAATGAGAAGCCTCTGATAGTCTCTTCCGGGAAAAGGGGGAGGGCTTGCAAAGTTCATAAGAATGGAAGTTTTTGATAGCTAATTTTATGATATACAGGTGGTCCTCACTTTACAACCTGCCTGTTTTACGACTGCTCACACTTGCGACCAGTTCTCTAGGGTAGGGATTCAAGAGGTTCCCCACTTTAGAGAGCTGGCCCATGTTTAGGGAATTTTACTGAACATAGATTCACAGGATTTCCTGCGTTAGTGAACTGGTTTATGTTCTAGGGAATTCTCTCGAACGTAGACCTGCATTCTTGCGCATCCTCACTTACTGACCGATTCGTTTTACGACTGGGTCATAAGAGTTGAACCCGGTCGGTAAGTGAGGAATGTCTGTACATGTATTAATATATTCATGCATGTACTTGTTATGGGTATATCTACTAAATAGTTATTAAAACTTTTTTTAAGAGTTTTAACCCGTTAAGGACCATACTTCTGGAATAAAAGCGAATCATGACATGTCACACATGTCATGTGTCCTTAAGGGGTTAAAGGGACACTATACTCACTATAAATAGTAAAATATCTTTCAAATTTTATGTGCCGTTTCAATCAGGTGTGATTTGAGCAAAATAACTAACTCATATAGTATTTGCCTTCCCTAGAATGTGGGGATAAAAGTGTATTTTAGCAAATTTTATTGTTTGAAATTGGTTATTTTGCTTTTTGTGCCACTTAATCACACCTAAACGAAACTGCAAATACTAAAATGCGCTAAAATACACTTTTACCAATATTTAATTTCACTGCTTTAGGTATGGTGCCTTAGGTTCTTGGCGCTGTCCCTCCAATTGGTACTATTTCGAAAAGGTCAACACTAACTAAATGTTCCTACAGGGGTGCAGCTAAAACAGAGATTACACACTTTATTACCCATTCATACCCACAGTGGGTGTTATGATTGACTGACTGAAAACACTCAGCTGGCACTCTAAGCCTGTCAGTCGACTTTTGCTGCACTAATTAATGCTTCCTCATTAGCCCAAGCATCACAGAGTGGACGGGCTACAGAGGCATGATGTTCAGCATTAAAAATTGTTTAACCAGGAATGGAAAGGATGGTGCTGGCTACTCTAGACACTGTAACCACTTCAAGGCAGTTATGGTGCCTACATTGTCCCTTTAAGCCATGCTATGTAGGGCCAGCTTAGCGTAGAGTGTCAATATAGAAACCTCCCAATAACTTGAATTAAATATCTACATAGAGGTAGAAGTAATTGGCCCAAAAAGAACATGGTAAATGAATGAGGAGGAAAGGTAGCAACACGGTTTTTCCTTTTCCAATGTAGGACTGAAATAGCTGTTTGGTAATATATGTTAGATGTTATTTGCTAGATTAAGTTTTCATCTCTTGCTCTGTTAATTGAACTTTAATCGCATACAGGTGGCTCCTGCAGGGTATTAACAGAGCAGGGAATAATCAATTCTATTTTAAACAAAATGTGCAGTAAAGGAAGGTTAAACAGATTTCTCTTCACATGGAATGTGTAAGGAGACTATGCAGGGGAGGTGTGACTAGGGCTGCATAAACATAGAGTAACTTCTAAATGACAAAAAATTGAGCTGTTAAACTGCACATTGATAAACTATACACCAAAACCACTCCATTAAGATAAAATTGTTTTGGTGCTTATAGTGTCCCTTTAAAGAAAAACTCCAAGTACAATAAACACTACAACTCACTGTAATGGTTATGGTGCCAGAAGTGCCCGGGCTCCCTTCCAGAGTAAGTAGTCAAACCGTTTTAGAATGGTTTGGCAACTGTGCTAAAACTGAGATGGCCTAGTTGGGTTCTCTCATTGACTGAAAGCTTCCAACTGACACACTCAACCAAAGATTAACGGCCCTACTTAGTTCAAGGAAGCTGTTTGGATTATCTACTGCAGACTGTAGTGATTATGGTGCTTGGAGTATTTCTGTAATATAC